GCATCCAATGCTTTTTAATGGGCTCAACTAACCCCACCCCTCACAGTGACGTCACTCGCTCCATTCGAGTGCATTGTGTCTGACATTGCATCACTGTGTGATGCAATCTCAGCTTTCATCATAAAGGCTGCATCCAGATACTAGTCTTTCAGTCCCTGCTAATGTGCTGATGATCTGAATCAGGTGTTTGGTTAAGAAGACCTGAAAAATGTGCAAAGCTGGGGGTCCTCCAGGAACATGGTTGAGAAACACTGATTTAGATAAACTTTAAAAAAAGCTACACCTGCCATAAAAAACCTTCAAAATGTACCAAACAAATAGTTTTACTAAAATAAGTTTTATTTTATCCAGTTGTGAAAGTATTTGCTCACCTCTTATGTGTAATGCTAATTTTATAGCACCCTTCTTAAAATCTTCTTGCATTTTGACACAAATAAATGTGTTAATGTTTGTGTCTTATTTATTATCGCTGAGATACGACTCAATTACAATTTATGTGAATGTTTTAACATTTGGTTGGTCATTTTCAGGTTTCTCTGAAGGTTTAACTAATGTAACCTGATGTGAAAATACATTTCCACGAATAATTAAAAAAGGGAATAGGGTCGTATTTAAAAATCCTAATAAAAATGATTAAAATAAAAATGAATAAAATAAAATTGACAACTGAAAATATAAAAATAAAGCTAATTTCTGCCATCTTTAAATGTACATTTCGACTGGAAGCAAAGACCTGCATACTGGGCCTCAATGATGATATACCTTATAATTTTCGGAACAGAGGCCTACTACATATTTTGATTTATTTTGCTCGGAAATGTATCCTTGTAAAGTGGATTAATGAAGAACCACCCAGTTTAAATCAATGGCTGCTTGCAGTCTGCAACATAATCCCACTTGAGGCTTTCTCCACAGCTTTGAAGATAATGATTAAATCACACTGAACTGAGCTAAACTGAACTGAACTTAAACACTAAAACCTGAACCACACTGTTCCAGTTACTATGACCATTTATGTGAAGCTGCTTTGACACAATCTACATTGTAAAAGCGCTATACAAATAAAGCTGAATTGAATTGAATTTGAAGAGCAAACCTTTTCTATTTTATCGGACCTGGGACTCTTTCTTTGATTATCTAGGAACATCTAAGTCTTTAAGACTAAAAGCTTGTCTGCCAGACAAAAGAAATGTAGGATGCCTTTTTGCAATATAATATTGTATTTTTTTGTGATTATTATTTTCAGTATTATAAGTGTTATTATTATTTATTTGTTGTTTGTTTAATTACAATTTAATTTTATTTACTATTATTTTAATTTTATTATCTTTCTACTCAATGTAATTTTCTGACATGTTTTTGCACTAAAAATGTTCAATAAAAATATATTTGAAAAAAATTAAAATAAAGCAAATTTAAAACCCTTTCAAACAAACTATAATAATCTCAAACTAAACTGATTAAAACTTGCGTAATTCATGGACTTTAAACTGTATTTATAAAATAATGAGAAATGTTGCTTTGGCAAGTAGCTGAAATAAAAATTAATAATTACATTTATTTATTTATTCTGTTTTTTAACATTTATTTCAAGTAGCAAAACCCTTTATCATGTAAGTTATGTCACTGTAAAAAAATTAAGTTAATTTAACAATATTAGAGGAAAATAAATGGTATTTCAATGTTTCCACTAACATTTTTTTTGCTAACAAATTTGAGAAATTTGTTCTACACCAGCTTTGTTTTAGTGTGGTGTGTATATAATTATTTACACAAAATATCCATGTATGGTTCAAGACTAAATTATTCAGCCTCCTGTGAAATTTTAGGGCCCTATCATAAACCCGGCGCAATACGGTGCACGGCGCAATGCAATTGTTGTTTGCTAGTTTCAGCTCGGCGCAAGAGTCATTTTGCGTCACGCTGTTTAAATAGCAAATGCATTTGCGCTCATATGTGCACCCATAGGCGTTCTGCTCTAAAGAAGGCGTGTTGAGGCGCATTGCTGGCGTGCTGCTATTTTGAGAAACTTAAATAGTAGGTTCAAGTAGATCAGATCAAAGCCGGTCTTAAGTCCAGCGCAGAGCGCGTTAGTTCCTTACAAACTGCTTAATACAGACAGGGTGTACAGCAATACGCAAATATCTTTACATATAAAAAAAAATACAAAATTTAAGGATATATATAGGATATCATAAGGATATATAGCCTATAGAATATAAATATAAAGGATTAAAACGTTACAAAACAATATTTTCTACATAAATATAAATACCATACGTTCATGTCTTTGTATTTATTATATCCATATTTATATTTGTTTTATTAAAAACAAGCTTAGATTTGTCCACCTGTCAGGTTTTAGACCATATGGGGCACAGCATGTGTATTAGGATATAACTCAGTTGTTTGAGCACACTTCGTTATTATTGTTCATTTATTCGTTTGCTGGAAATTAGAACTGAATTTAAAAACAGTTTTGAAACGAATCTTTGCGCTTAACAAACGAAATTAATTATTTATAGGCTAATTGATGTCTGTGCGTAAAGGTTTCCCTATCCACGAGAGTGAAGGTAGATAATGAGATGCCTTGTCTCTCATTCTCGCACCGCAGATGCTCTGTTTAACTGTTTTCTCGCTAGTGAAATGCTCAGTTTTTCCACTTACAAAGTCCGTCATGTAAATAGCAAATGTGCTATGGTGTGAAGCAAATGACTCTTAAAGGGAATAGGAGATGAGACTCTGATTGGTTTATTCTCAAAACACACCTATAACTCATTAAGAAAATAAACTCAACCCTTTTAGTGGATTTTTCTGTCCTTAAATGAGCAAAAGTGGATTCCGACACGCCCTAATTGCTTTTGTGCTTTGCGCATGGATCGTCAAAATAGAGCCCTTAATTCTTTTCACATATTTTCCAGACGATGGTTAAGAAATAGACAATTTTTTTAACAAATTTCTAAACATAATCGTTTTAATAACTCATTTCTAATAACTGATTTCAAAATCTATGAGGGTTATCTTTGCTTTGATGACAGCACATAATATTTGACTAGATAATTTTCAAGAATTCAGTGAAATAAACACTGATTATGGACAGAATTTCAAGGTGCAGCCTTGGGCTGGAGGGGGTCCGGTTCGGGGGCCACAGGATTTCATCTCTGTTATTCGCAGAAGATGTTGTTCTGTTGGCTTCATCGAACATGGACCTTCAGCATGCACTAGGGCAGTTTGCTGCAGAGTGTGATGCGGCTGGGATGAGAATCAGCACCTCTAAGGGTGCTTTCACACCTACACTTTTGTTTCGGAACGTGTCTCGTTTGCCCAGTTAGCGCGGTTCGATTGGCATATGTGAACAGGGCAATCGCACTCTGTTCCGCGCCAAAGTAATCGCTCCGAGATCGCTTGAATGAGGTGGTCTCGGCTCGATTGAAACGAACCCTGGAGCGGATCGATTGCAGTGAGAAAGCGATCTGATCCGAGCGCGGTTATATCACAGTGTTTTATAGATATGTAATAGGCTTACGGCTATATGAAGAGAGAATTATGAGTAGGGCGGGAAGTTTCGCGAGTCTCCGGATGCCCGCAAACGAGTGATGATCTCCCGGTAATCTCGCGTCTCTCTCCCAGTCCTCAAATAGGCATCGTCGCGCACCCTTCTCACCCCTCTCTCCCTTCTCCCTCCACCCCTTCTCATCCGTCTCTCCTCAGACACGTCGCGCGCGCTCACCCTGTCAATCACCACCAAACCACCACCTCTCCTGACAGCTTGGCGGGACGCTGCAAAATAAACCCTGACACTCTGACCAATGTGAGGAGAGTTTACTCGCACGTGACTTGTTTTAGCTCTTTTGGTCCGATTAGAAACTTTGCAGTGTGAAAGCGAACCGCTCCAAGAGCAAAGAGCAACAATGTAACAATTATAATCTCGGAACAACTGAATCCATTCACAGGTGTGAAAGCACCCTTAGTCCGAGGCCATGGTGCTCCACCGGAAAAAGGTTGGAGGAAAGTCCTTACCAGAGGTGGAGGAGTTCAAGTATCTCTGTGTTTTGTTTATGAGTGAGGGAAGGAGGGAACGTGAGATTGACAGGCGGATTGGTGCAGCGGCAGCAGTAATGTGGTCGATGTACCGGTCCGTTGTGGTGAAGAAGGAGCTGAGCCGAAAGGCAAAGCTCTGGATTTACAGGTCAATCTACATTCCTATTCTAACCTATAGTCATGAGCTTTGGGTCATGAAAGGACAAGATCTCGTATACAAGCGGCCAAAATGAGTTTCCATCGAAGGGTGGCAGGGCGCACCTTTTTAGATAAGATGTCACCCAGGAGGAGCTCGGAGTAGAGCCGCTGCTTCTCCACATTGAGAGAAGTCAGCTGAGTTGGCTCGGGCATCTGTTTTGGATGCCTCCTAGATGCCTACTTAGGGAGATGTTTTAGGCATGTCTCACCAGGAGGAGGCCTTGGGAAAGACCCAGGACATGCTGGAGGGACTATGTGTCTCAGGTGTACTGGAAAACACCCAAACACCCCCATTCACACACACTCATACACAACGGCCAATTTAGTTCGTCAGTTCCCCTATAGCGCATGTGTTTGGACTGTGGGGGAAACCGGAGCACCCATAGGAAACCCACGCCAACACGGGGAAAACATGCAAACTCCACACAGAAATGCCAACTGACCCAGCCGGGACTCGAACCAGAGACCTTCTTGCAGTGAGGCGACAGTGCTAACCACTAAGCCACCATGTCGCTACTTGAGAAACATTTTTAAAAGATTTTGAATTTCACAGGAGGGTGAATAGTTTAGTCTTCAACTATGATCTGCTGTACTGTAAGTGAACTGTGCTCTGCTGTACTGTAAATGCAAAACCCCTTTTACTGTAAAAGTCTCGACTCTTCTGAAGAGTTTCCTACTGTGGCTGGTGGTGTGTGTTTCTGGAGGAGTGTGAGTCTCCAGTGTTTAGTGTGTGTGTGAGTGCGTGTGTGTGTGAGCATTCACTATCTGCAGGTCAGTGCCAGTGTCAGTGTCAGCATCAGTGTGCAAATCTCCAGAGCTGAAGCAGAATCCGCCGCCGTCGCCACTTCGTCTGTAGTTTCTGCTTTGGGGACGGGAGTGTGTGTGATGGAGGAATCTGAGGCTGTAACACACGACTCCATGCAGCCGCTGCCACTGCCAGAACCACTGCTCTCCTCATCTGACACACACAAACACACACACACTTTTAAATCACAAGAATAAAATGCAATAAAAGTTTGAATTATTGTTCATTCACTGGCTTCTCACTTTATAATTAACCAGAACACATTTTCCTGTGTATTTAAAAAGGGCCTGTTCACACAGGACCTCTTTACAACATGTCGATCATTTTCCGGAAAAGTCTGTGTGTGTCAAACAGAGTCTTACTGGAGTCCTGGAAGTTGATGTCGTGTCCGTCGTAAGCGTTTTTCAGCTTGTTGCTCATGATTCTGAGAGCCAGGATCTGCTGACGGATCAGGGAATCCGGTCTGGAAACATCAACACTGACCTCTGGGTTACTGGCCTGCTGAGCTAGGCCATCCTTCTGGACCTCTGCAATATATCTGGATAAAATTATATATATATATTATTTTTCTTATTATTAATTTAATAATAAAAAATATGAATAAATAAAATGTAAAACAAATCGAAGTTTTTAAAATTAAATACAAGCAAAACACAAAGTAAATAATTAATATAATAATAATAATAATGATAATAATAATAATAATAATAATAATAATAATAATATAAACAAATAAAAAAAATCATCCTCCTGGATCTGTGCAATGTATCTGGATAATTTGTATTATTATTATTATTATTATTATTATTATTAAATAAACAAATAAAAAATTAAGTAAAATGTAAAAAAAATCTACTTAAATACAAATAAAAAATAAAAAATTAAATACAAGCAAAATACAAAGCAAATAAATAATAATAATAATAATAATAATAATAATAATAATAATAATATAAACAAAATAATAATAATCCTCCTGGACCTCTGCAATGTATCTGGATACATTTTTTTTTATTATTATTATTATTAATTCAAACAAATTAAAAATATAAATAAATAAAATGTAAAACATATCAACTTTTAAAAAATTTAATACAAGCAAAAAACAAAGCAAATAATAAATAATAAAAATATATAATATATAAACAAATAAAAGCAAATAAAAAATTCATCCTATTGGACCTGGATAAAAAAAAAATTATATATATATATTATATTTTTTATTATTAATTTATTTATTCATTCATTTTCTTTTGAGCTTAGTCCCTTTATTAATCTAGGGTCGCCACAGTGGAATGAACCAACATTATTATTAATTCAATAAATAAATAAAATGTAAAACAAATCAACTTTTACAAAAATAATTACAAGCAAAATACAAAGTAAATAATAGTAATAATAATAATAATAATAATAGTAATAATAATAATAATAATAA